CTTATATTCTTACACCGTGATACCGCCCTATGAATACCGGCCATAGACTGGGCTTTACCTTTACTACCTTCTTTTATTATCATCTCTCTTCTTATATGTGAGAGAGAAAACAACTCTGTTCTTCCTTTCTCTTTCTAAATTCTCGACATTCTCCGAACGACGTGAGCAGTCTATTACTTACTACGTCTATGGTCGTGCCAGTTTAACCAACATTTGATGCGATGTAAGTTTAAAACGAATAAATTTGTCTAAAAATGTAGACACAATTTGTTTAATTTTTAACAATTATATTTGTATATGTATTTATCTTGCGCCGTTTATTAAATTTACAAAAATCATGGACAAACTTACGACTGAATAACGGTATCTTTTTTTTTTTACTCAAATTGGGTACTACTGGTACGCATCTGATGCGCATGTGCGAGAACCCGGCCCGTATCACAACATTGAATGCAGTTTGCTTTAGTTCGTAGGCGAGCCAGACGAGCTCCGTTACGTTGGACGCAACGAAGCGGTTGTAGTCACTTCGTTCACGGAACTCGCATTTTTACATCGAAGGCCGCCGTCGTCACCGTCGCCGTTGCCGTCATCGTCGCCGTAGTAGTGGTAGTCGTAGTGGTCGACGCGCGTGATTCGCACAGAGACGCTTGTGATCATGAAGAATGTGAGAGTGCGTGAAATCGGCTAGCGTGCGTCGAAACGAGCGTACAAGAGGAGCACGGTAAGTACCATCCCCGTCTGACATGCGGTCACACTTGAGTCCCGGGATTCGTCGGTAATTCCATTTCCGGTATTTCTCTTCGAAGTAAAATGCGAGAGTGATCCGAAAAAATTGGAGCATTAGGATATTATTACGGATACACGCATACGAGAGGTTATAAATCGTACCTGCCATCATGGGACGATTCGCAGTGGAGTTCTCGTCGCTCGTGCGACGAATCGTTTGACGTTCTTCAGGATTCACGTTCAAAAATATACGTGCGTGTAGAAAACGGAACTGATTGTGCGGAGCATTTCAGGATCGATCCCGTCGTAACTGTGTAGTACGTCACTGATGCTTTCGAGAGGTTATAAAGTCAACGCGAAGACTAATGCCTGCCATTATGACCGGACGATCTCTGCATCGTTCATCGTCCACGTAAATCGCTCTTTTCATTTGCGTGTGGCTTGTGTGCTCCTTTTTCTCAATGTTTTTCTTGCACGTAGCCTTAATTCTCGGAGTCAGCGATCCTGCCGAGATCGATGCGATCTGTCATGCAATCTGGTGTGTCTCTCCGCGCGAAAACGGAGTTGCGATTCCGCGGACACTGATTTGCGGAAGAGATGGTGTACTAGTCGCAATCCATTCAGAAACGTCTAATGTTTGCTGATCTGTCAACGGAGGTTGACAGCTGACCGAGTGTGATAAGACGTATGCGCGCTCTTATCGTGACTCGCTTCGTGCTACTTTCACGATTGTCGCGTGCACGCGCGAATGCATGCGGCTGAACGCGAACGCAATGTAACTCACCTTAGTAAAACTGTAATCGAAACTAATTTTAGGTTACATTGAACACCTTCACCCTCAACTTGTGTGGTGATGATAAAATGAAAAAGTGGGAGTGACAAATCTTTTTTTGCAAGGGATAGAAGTGGTGTGATGTGAGTACAAAGTGTCTCGGAACGCCTAATGTTAATGACAGATTATTTGATTTATTTGGAGATCATTTTTTTTTGTTAAAACATCAAAACATCGTATTGGAATTTTAATTCTAGATATTACTGCGATAATTAAACAACATTTCTTTGAGGACTCCGTCAGTAAACTTGTTTAAATTAATATCGGCACTTGTGTGACATTTGTCTACCTTTACGCTATTAGAGAAGCTTATTTTCCAAGGTTGACATGCGCAAACTAATATCGTTCATAACTTCTTTTCCCTATTTATGTCATGGTTAAGGCCATGATCGAGAAAAGGATAGCCATTTATAGATAGTTGATCAAGTATCATCGTTGAAAGCATAAGGTATTCAGATGATAATAACGTACGGTTTTAAAAGCTTAAAGACGAATAATTAATAAACTGATATAAATTTCTTTTTCTATAAAGTGTAAATGATAATTAAATCATGTAAATTAAATATTAAAAATATGAAAGGTATTAAGTATTCAATATTTAACGATTATATTTATGCTATATATATTATGTTAGAAATATAATATGCAAAAAAACGACAATCAAGAATCTGACAACTTGAAAATTACATTCTTAATTATATAAAGAACAATGTTTTTTTTACACATATATACATTATATGGTTTGTAATCGTGTGAAAAAAATTCTCGTTAATTCGCTCGCTTGTTCGTCATTTGGACATCGAGAGATTAATCCGTAGATTAGCGTCGATGACGTATTATATATTTCTCGATTGTCCTTATCGTGATTGTTCTCATCCAAAAGTCGGAGCAGTTAAGAGTGAGTAGCGAGATTGTTGAGTGGATATCGACAATGACCGGACAATCAATGACACTCAATAACCGGATAATCCATCAATGAGTGTCCTTTTAACCTTTGGAAGACAATCGAACAGGAGTGAGTTACTATGGCCGAAAGTTGAATCATTCAAATGTCGATTCCTATTTCGATTTCGAATAGAGATTCGAATTAATGAAATAAAATGTACTTTTCTTTTATCTTGTTTCAAGAATGGTAATTATTTATAAAACATGTTGCGTTAAAATGATAAAATACAGTAAAAAGAGTCAAAAGAACCTCAAGTTTTGTAATTGTGGAATTCCGAAATTATTTGTCATAAATTTTTTTAAAAAAAGACGTATTTACTCTTTCATAAATTTTAATCTGCGATAAAAAGTCACAAGTTTGTAAAACACTCCTCGACGTGATAAAAGCATTAAATTTTCGTGCTGTGGCTTTCAAACATTTTTTTATCGCTCTCCGCTGGTTTTCATAATTCTCGCGCCGCGCTTTCCATCTTCAGTGATTTAAATTCTCATCTCGTGCGATGGACCCATCGTATTTTTTTTAACTGCTAGTTATAGTATCTAATCTCCGCTTGCATTAATTATTTGTGTGTTATGTCATTTCGTCATGTTCGTCCACAGTTTGCAAACTCGATCTCAGAATGCGCGTTTGTTCGTATTTCCAAGCGCAATTAGCATTTTCGAAACGTCCAAGTCTCTAATTAGTGCCATGAAATGCATTTCTCTTTCACGAGACACATTTTATTTGTGCGACAAATTCGTACGACTGTCACGATTCACAAATTACTAGGTGCAACCGTAATACGAAGAAATAGCGAAGCATGAACGTTACTTTTACATCGCTGAATAAAATACTCGCGAGGTCCTTTGCATATATGTATATTTCCAACTTTACGATTATTTGAATTATTATTGTTATCGAGGTCGCAGAATATCTGATAGATATTGTATCTGATTTTGCATTATCTGTTCGATCGGAATATATTCATCTTTGAATTTATGACCTTAAGCAATAAATTCGTAAACGCTACGATAAAGTATACATAGATCCTAATCTCTAGATTGCATTTTCAAATTTGTAGCAAGAATTTATCGTACTATCGCCGTGCTATACATCGATATGGATAACATATGATTGCAAATTTGCTTCAGTATCGCTCATTTGTGAGTAAGCAGAGTTGGTTTGCGCAACTAAATTTTATATGCAATCTGAATAGAAAACAAAATATAATTGTTTCTTTATTATATAATTATATTTTATTTTTTATGCACGTGACGCTGCTTTAGATGTTCCAATACTCTGACAAGAGACATTTCAATTATCATTATATAAATGAAATATCGAGTGGACTTGGTACACAGCGTTCGCGTTTATCAGGACTGTATGATAGAACGTCGATGAAAATTAATTGCGTTTCGAATTTGCAGTAAACTTTATCGCGCACGTTCGTTAGTTTTCGCGCAACAAGTGAAGTACGCCGTTTTCTTTTCGCCCCATAAACCGGCTAACTTTTCACCTCGCACCGTTTCGATTGCGTGATAAAACTTTGAACTTTGTTTGCAATATTCCAGATGACAAAAATGGCGATCGAGAGCGCCAGTTGCACCTCTTCCTCCTGAATGTCGATGTGACGTTGATAGACGCGGAAACGACGAGCGACGTCAATGAAGCATCCGCGAGCGGGATCATCACGAAGCCGTCTACCGCACCGCACCCGCACTTAAGACGTCCCTCCACCGAGGAAAAATCCCCGGTGGAAATCACACGCGTATAAATCTCCGTCGTAATCTATTCGAGTGCTCGCATCGCTCAAAAAGCAATTTCGATCGCACCAAGATCCGACGAGTTCTTGGAGGACTTCGGAAAGCCGAGATTATCTCCCCGTGATCTACATTTTTCTTAATTGAACGTCGTTCATGTTTTCCTCGCGCGCGGAACAGTGAGACTGATCAGTGTGTAAAACCGCGAAATACACAATCGAAGCGAAGCGAACGTTCGCTTTCCGGGAAGTTGCGAATTAGCCGTATGCATTGATCAGCCGGGATCGTCCGCGATCGGAGTCAAGGTCGTGTAGAAGAATTGGGTGCCCGTAGACACGCTACGTAGACCCGCTTGGTTCTCGTTTGTGCCGCAGGTGTTCGACGATTCGCACGTTACACACAACAGAATTCAAAGTGCGGTGTCCTGGTGAGATGGCCTTCATGATGAAGAAGAAGAAGTACAAATTCTCGGTGGAGGTTCACCTCGAGGAACTCACGGCGGTGCCGTTCGTCAGCGCTGTGCTTTTCGCTAAACTGAGGCTTCTCGACGGTGGCTCCTTTGTTGATCATTCCACTAGGTAAGTGCTCTGAAATTAGTCTTATCTGGAAAAAATCTAGAATTCTCGGAGAATTCTAGATTTCTTCTGTTTGGAGAAATCATGGAGTTCTATTCATACTTGGGAAATTTTTATTGAAAATGTTTTTTGTGGATTTATTGCCATATTTTGTGGTCGGCAATTTGCTTTTTAATTTTTTCCAATACTTTTTTTAAAATTTAATATTTGAATTTTTTATCACTAAACTTCTATGATTAGGAAACATTAAAAAGTTTATAAAACAAATTCATTTTAAATTTGCATATAGAAAATGTTTTGTTTCTGTCTGAAAATTTAATCGAAAGTGCCTGAAAAATGATAGAATTCTTCAGAAATTTTTTTCCAAAAAATTTTTTAATAGACACCTTGAATTACTGGCTGTTAGAGGGATGTATAAATCAGAGTGGTCGATGTTCTATATTTGGATCTAAATGATCTCAATTGGTTGTTGTAGAAAATTACGTTAATTTCGTGTTCTATATGCGGTTAGGTTACATGTACATTATACATGTACTAATATACATTATACATAGGAAGATAATAACAATCGAGCGGAATTTTGAATAATATACTATTGTATATCACATGGTGCATATGTAATATACGATGAATTATGAAACTCACAAATCGTTTAAATAATAACTGACGTCACGTAGTTTTCAATTTTTGGCATATATACACTCTAAACGATTTTAACATATATATATGTTGTCTATAAAATAATATATTTTTTAATGTTATGAAATGTGTATATAATTTATAATAATGCAGCATTATATTGTAAATTTTAGACATTAGTCACATTGAATGTGTAACGCTTAGCATTTAATATTTAATTAGATATTTATATCAACGAATGTTAATCCATTGAAAAGCTTCGCTTTTCATATAATTTTGCGGCGAATGGTACTGACATTCTATCAACGAAAAACTTTCATAAGATTTATATCGGCGTCCATAGAACTCGAGACTTTCCAGAAATAGATTCACGACAGAAATAAGACTTGAGCTATGCTCGGCGTAAACTTTACATTTTTTGTGCTACGTAATAACGTTATATTTTCATGTATTCTGGATTGCTATTTCATTCCATTATCTGACAGCTAAATTTCCTTTATTATTCATATCTAAGATTAGCTTGTTGCTGTATAAATGCATTATTGGTTTTAGTAAACATTTGAAAAATTTATAATTTTGGAAATAATGAATAATAACTCCCGAAATTTATTATTTTATAATGTTATTTAGAAATATTATTTATTTCCAATTTTCAAGAGTATTTACAGTATTCGGAAGAATACATGTGTAATTTCGAAATAACGACAACAATATAGTGCACTTTCGCGCTAAAACTAAATACTTTCGCCTTAATAAAACTAAAATTATGCTAATTTCAATATTGTGCTTCTACGAGAGTTGCGTGTCTTGAATCAAAACTTTTATTCTTGGCGATGATGCGAAATCACGCGCGTTAGAGAATTCTCTTATGGCGAGACACCGTAAGACGCTTGTATAGAATTTGCGAGCGTATAATGGCCCGCCATAGTCGAGATCTATATTTAGTACGACGCGCAGTTTGCTTTTTCTGATGAACTATTAAAACTTGGTTGAACCAAGCCGGAAGCTCGTTCGGCTCTAGATAGTCTCCAGCTTGAAGACTGTCGAAGCTTTAGTATGCTTGAGCATGATCTTATTCGTGGTTAGAGAACATGTGCTGCTGGTGAAACGGATATAAGTACACGAAACGTGTATCGTAAACGCGTGTTGGTCGAAAATATCGTGGACATATTTTATACGAAGGAAAATATTTTGGAAAGAAATTATGAGTTCTTATACATCAATATTAATTATTATTAATCTTAGCGATATAGATGTCTGAGAAATCTAGCATTCAAGAAAAGCATACATTTTTGTTTCGAAAAAATAGTTGTTTTTCTTTTAATAATGTTTTCGCAAATATTTTTCATCGATAATCACACCATCAAAGTCTAAACTTTTCAAGGAATGAAGATACATCCGAAAATATATATTTCGACGAGAATTATAAACAAAAATATACACAGCAGATTTATTAAACTCAGTTTGTATTTGAAAAGATCACTTTTTTTTTAGTCTACACTGCTACGATTAATTCTCAAATATCGACTGGAGCTTTATACAATATTATTAAATTATAGCAGCTGAATATGGTCGATTGATAAGCTAAAACGGCGATGAAATTTTGCAAAATGGAAATAATTTAAAAGAGGGATAATGAAAGATTTATTGCTATAGAGTGCATCATATTCATATCTGTCACAATTTTTTATTAAAATGTCGAAAGGATCGTATTAATGATCAGCTGTCTTATCGATCGTAAAAACAATTTCAAATGATGCGTTTATTCAATAAATATTCGTCGAAGTATAACGCGTGTGTTTGCTCGTGTGGATGAGGTAATTTATGTCGTGACGATGTTGTAATTGTCAATGACAATACAGTAAAGTTGGTTACGTAAATGCGATCACATTCAGATTTGCCGACATATGTCAGATGAATAGCCGGATGTCACTACTGCCGAAACAAGTTGTGCGGCATGTTCAAGATCATTGATCTAGATTTAAAATAATTTTCCAATTATTTACGCATCCAATTATTTTGGCATCTCGCGAGTTATCCGAAGGCAACTAAGCGTGCCTCGCGTGACTATTCACGGTATTATTATTTTAACTGCTTTTTATTATTACTTTCGCTTCGTGTATATAAATGTACGTAAAGATTTCTCGGAACAACGCGCTCGCTTCTGCACATGGTCAAACTCTCTTTTTTCTATTAATAGCTAACCGCAAAAGTAAAGCTCCAGTCGATTTGATCGCAATTCAATCCACTCGATGATGTACGTCGGAACACATACGTACACCCGACATAAATGTCTTCAACCTTCGGTTTAGGATTTTTCACATGACTCAGAACTGTTTGGCAGCTTAGCATCTCTAAACATTTGATAACATATCTAATAACATAATCTAAAATATTAACAATGATTTAGTAAGACGTAAATTAATTAATAAAATTGTAATTTTAGCTTTTTAATATTTTTAACCAACAAATATTTAAACACAATGCGTTCGATCTGAAAAATCGAAAGAATATATACCTATCATTATTGTTTCTGGTGTAACGCGAAAAAAAATATCGTGCTCAATATATAATCCTACGTTCTATAGAATATAATTCTATATAATTATAATTCTTTATAATTCTATATAATTCTACGTTCTATTGGAACTAAATCTATCTATAGATCTAATCTATCTATAATCTATCTAATCTATCTGTAGATAGATTTAGTTCCAATTTTTTTTACGGATATGACATAGTCCATCTTGTAAAAAAAGATAGGAATTTCGGATGTTTCGTATATGTCATATGATTACTTTTCAAAATACATTTCCGCATGACTACAATAATGCAATTTTTTTAATCTTTAGAGATGCTTTTTAATTATTTGTCATTTTTCAGCAATCTCTTTTTGACCATAAAGCGAAATTAACAGATTTATGGTAACAATTAACGTACCCCTGCTTTTTCGTTGAACAATAAATCGAAGACCATATAGTCGAAAGAGAGTTTGCGCTATTTAACAAAACAAGTCATTGTTTCAAAACTAATACTGCGATATTTGTATCCTGTGCATTATGTGCGACGTTGTTTCTACTCGTGCGTAAATGCGTGCGACATAAATTCTACCGTCATTTGCGAACGTTTCTGTTCAGCGATACATTTCACCGCATAAAAGATGAAACATAACTTTGTTCCCAGAAGTAAAATTCCAAAGTGTCAATTTTCGTGATTTATGTTTTCAAATTTCTCGATACGAAAATATAAATATACAGGGTGTCCCATTTTAATTGTCCACTTTAAATATCTTGTAAATGTCGCATTTTCGTGGAAAATGTTTCAGACAAAATTGGTTTGTCCTGAGGGAGCCATAAAAAGTATTGTTCGTTTGACCTTGCGTGAAGGTCACACCAAGGTCACACCAAGGTCACACTAAGGTCACCTCAGTTTCTTTAAATGGAAACCTATATTTTTTATGGCATATTCTTGTAGCCGACGTTGAGACATTTTCGAAACATTGGTTACAAACCCTTTTTTAATAAGAACTTCCTGAGTTATGAATCTTTATAGTCTAAATACTGCCAGCATTAGCATTACCCAAGATACACCACGCGGAGGTTACCCAATCGAATTTACGCCTTTTTCGCGCGCGCGCACGCGCGTGTGTGTGTTAATAGCAAAAATCAGGGTCTTGTGACTTGTCAATATCCCATACTATTTATTAAATCTAAACTGTTACTGTGCAAGTGTGTGTATGTGCGAGTGTTTTCACTCTTGAGCGTAAGAAATTTGATTGGTGGTTTTTAAGAGCTCAAAAACTGTTCAAAAATACTCACCATTCTGCTGATGACATGGTCTTATTCTTTTTTTTTCAAAGTCTCCTAGAAAGTCTCCAAGAAAGGAGAACATTTCGTGAAATACTTCTGCAAGCTTCTTTGACACGATTCCTTATATCATCCTGTGAAGGCTCGCGGTATACAATTCTTCAGATAACCTCAAAAAAAAACCTGGTGAAGTAAAGTCAATAAAAGAATAAAACTGTTTCATCAGAAGAATGGTGGGCATTTTGAATGTAATAAAACTTCTCGCTTCTTAGATTTCAAATTATTTCCAGAATGTGAAACACTAGAGAAACCTGAAAATAAGCAAACAAAAACGACAGAAGAAGTTTTTAAACGTTTGAACAAAAAAAAAACCAAGGTGACCTTAATACCTTCATCTAAGATCAAACGAACAGTTTTTTATGGCCTCTTTAGAGTCAAACCAATTTTGTCTGAAACATTTTCCACGAAAATGCGTCATTTACAAAATATTTGAGGTGGACAATTAAAATGGGACACTTCATATAATAAAAATATTTATATAAAAAAAGTATACGCGTT